GAAAAGAAAAAAAAAAAATTTTACAGCAGTTTCTTCAACTGTGGGAGATGTTTTTAATGTCTCCTTGTTCAAACATGGAAGCTTAACATTCTCTAGTGGGAATACTAAATGTTATAAAGCTTAACATTCTCTAGTGGGAATACTAAATGTTATAAAGAAAATAATCTTTAATTCTGACAAGTGACCTTTGTCTTGTCTAATTTGGGGAAATGTGTTAACCTTTTCATTATCATTCATTGTGATGGGGATAAAACATTAAAAGAGTGTGATCCTGTCAAATTCTGCCTTCAATGTTCAAGTATTGAGCCCCACAGAAGATTAAGGCTGTACTCAGACATTAATGAGCTCAAAATAAAATATATTTTTGTCACCAGCAACCAGAAAAAGATGTCAGTGCTGACACATGGATATTCCAAAATAGTCTGATTTAAGAATTATTCTATTTGATGCCCTTTCAGTCACAAAACCAGGAAAGATTGGAGGATTTCAATCCAAGGTTAATGAGGTTTATTTAATTAGAGTTTAAAACATGTAGAGGTAACATAATCAACCCAGAGAAACTAAAATCACAATTGTCAGTTTTATATATTTTATGAGCATGAATAGCCAGCAGCCCTATTAAAACTTTTTGTTCTGACATTGTGTAGCATTTATGATTGAGCTCTTGAATCTTTTTTCTTACCACTGAATCAAGTTCATAAAAAATATATTCAGATAATAAAATAACTATGGAAAATTATGATGTCACAATTCTTAAAGGCTAAAGAATTTCAGCAATATTTAATCTTTGTACCTGTAAAAAAAAAAAAACAAAAAAAAAACAGTGTACCAGAAGGATGGTTATTCCCTTGACATCACTGTTACTGTATACACTTTCTATGCCCTCGGCAATATTTATTGTTTTAAAAATCAATGATTAAATTTTTAATGAAACCTAAACATATGAATGTGGATTTATACATTTTTTTTATTAAGAATTAACAGAAATATTAAACACTATTAAATTTCTTATTGACAAGAATAATTATATATTTACAAGATTATGAAAATATGTGAACCAACTTCAACTATAATGAAGTATTTGTTATTTACCATTTTATAAAGAAATAAATATGAAAAGAAATTTTTTATTCATAAATTTATTGCTGAACAAGAAAATTTAAATAAGCACATAATGAGTAAATGTAATTATAAATTTTGAAAAAATGCATTTTCCAGGCATTTCTTTCATTTGTTCTTGCTTCATAAGTTCCCTAAAATAGGTTTGAGAACATCTCTTCCTCCGATGTATTTTGATAATTTTGTAATGTTTTATAAATTTTTGAATAAAAAAATTAATTTTCAAATTTATTCCTTTATAAAATGATAATAATAAATCATTATAAAAAGATAAATATCACACTGTACTTAATTCACATATTTTTGTAATCTTATATAAATATTGCTGATAGTGTAAAAAAAAAAATACAGTAATAGTGCATATCAAAGGAATAAGCAGAGTTGGTGCAATGATCCTGTAGGCCCCTACTAAATTTATGCAAATACCCTGTACTACATTTCAATTTTCATAAGGTGGTATTCATATAAATACAAATTTTATTTTAACCTAATTATGTACAATAATGAATCATCTATATAATAAATGGGAATGTCACTGTGTCACACTTCATCAATTTTACTCCTAGAGGCTGGAACCAAACATATCATACCATTTTGGAATCAGGTTGACTCCGTAAGCAAATTAGAAACATTCTGGGCTGGATCTGGATCTGAAATCCTAAAATTTTGGATTCCAAAAATTTTCATTACTGGAACTGTTTTTGTCTTTTTTTGTAACAAATTTTTTGTATGATAATCTTTATAACTTGGGAATAATCAAAATTAATTGCAAAATCCAGCAAAAGTCACCCATGAAATAAAAATAATTGTTTGTATGGAAAGTAAGGACCTATGTACATCAAATTGTCTTTAAATTAAGCGGCAACAGAAGAATTATCATTGAACTTTTAAAAGGTAAGCTTAAATATTAATGTAATACTTAAATGCAGCGATCAATTTTGAGTTCTTCTGTAGTTTATTGTTGCTTATCATATCTACACCCTACCTATTGTGATGAAGGCCCAAACAAGAGCCCTCCACAGGAACTAGATTAAATGCTGCTCGATAGGGTGGCTTTTAAGCTAGTATGCAATATAGGTAAACAATTCAACTAGAAAAATTGAAAATAAATACAATGTATCTAAATACAAATTAGATACATCATAAATAATAGATCATTTCATCTTAAATAAATTAACAATGTTTTGTGGCAATTTTAAATATCAACTTGGCATTTTTCTTATTAAAAAGTTGAATAATTTTAACACAGTCAACATTATGAATAAAAATCATTGAATTTTATAGAGTGCTTTTTTGAGATTTAGCATGAGCAAAACAACAAATTCACAGATTTGGATAAAAAAAAAAACAAAACAAAAAAAAAAAATGCTAGAATTACATCAAAATTCACAAAAAATTTTCAGCCCTTAATAGTCAGCTGTGCTTAGTTTAATTTGTAATGTATACAAATGTATGTAGAAAAAAGTAAATTTTGATAATATAGCAAGGGTAATAGTGCACTGCCTGGGACCCCCAATTATGCTTGCCACCTCCACTACCCCATCAGCAGGTTCAGGGGTAGTACATACTGGCCTTGAGAATAACCATCCTTTTTTTGTAGGCATGAATGTTAAACATTGCTGGAATTTTTTATTAAATATGTTATATTTAGCAGATACATGTGTTTGAGTAGATTTTTTTTTTTTTTTTTTTAAATAGTATAAATTCATGTCTACCAGCGCCTGTATACAAGAGCCTTAATAAAGAAAATGTTCCTTCTGGAAGGGTTCTAACCTACATCAACTGTTAAGCCTTGCATGGAAGATGTTCACAGTAAAGCAAATTTCACTTATGATATTTAGCAAATACACCTCTTTTGTTCAGATCTTGAAGTTTATACCTGCAAACTTTTTTTTATTTTGTTTTTGTTCCCAAAATGTAAACAAAGTAATTTCTAAGGAATTAATAGATTTTATTTATAATCTGAAATTATTTCTTATTAATTTAATGGATACAAGTATTTATGTAGAAATCCTTGTTCTTAATCAGTGTAAATTTATGTTTACTGAAGTTTTAAACTGAAGATCATCTGGAAGTAAAGTTTTAGAACATATTGGTTTTATTCATCATGGACCAATAAATCTTTGAGCAGAGCCTTAAAACAAAAAAATTAAACCTTGTTGATTGTGAACTGAACACATTCTCCTTGAGATGGAATCTAGGTAACTTTTGTTTCTCAGTTCTGCATAATTTAAAACTGAATTTCCTCATTTGTCATGTGTCAATGTATTATTATGTATCAATGTATGACTGGGCATTTCAAATTACATGGCTTTCTTAGAATAAATGACTAATGGTAACTTTTAAAATACATTACCAGTTCCAAAGTCAAATATTATCATCAGGTCCCAACCCACCCTTAAGTTCATATGTCAATCAGTGAATTACCAATTTTCTTTAGGCGAGAGTTTGAATATATACAATTTAAATAACTGTTCAGAAATTTTATCTTTATATATGGGCTAGACAAAATGCTCCAATTTTAGAAGTATTAAACAAAATTCCTAAGGTTTTTTTTAGCTATAAATCCTAAATTGTGTAGAACTGGGAAAAATTTATGAAGTTACCTTCTTTTTTTTTTTTTTTTACCCATAATTCCCTTTCAAAATTATTGCACATTTTGACATACATAGAAAGCAAATAGCTGTCATGGAATTTGTTTTTGGAGTGAAAAAGTGCTGTAAGTGACCATAACAGTTAACCCAAGCCTTGAACAGGTTAAGGTTGTAGTGACTGCCAAAATTGAGGAAGACGAGGAGACTATGTTAAGAATAAGATTTGGAATCCTGAAACTTGTTTTGGGGTATACAGTGCATATGAATCCATCTATTCCCTCCAGCTATGGGTTAAATAGTAGGACATGTATCTGGAAAAATCATGGTTATTCTCCAAATATTGTTAATTCAATATTCACTTGTATAAAAAGAATTATTCTTACAATCCAAAATATTTTTCAACTTTAAATCACCCACAAAGGGTTAATAAGCAGTAAAAAACAAATGAAATGTTTTGTGTGCTTCTGCTATTAAATCTGTTACAATTAAAGAAAAACAGGTATTACACCCAAATTGATTTACTACTGAAATTTGAAAAAAAAAAAACTAAAAAAGAAATTCTTTAATGCTGTTGAATTTGATTGTCAAATATAAGTAATATATTTTAGATTAGTACTTAAAGAATGATTAATGGAAAATTCCAAGAGTTTTAAGAAAACAAAGATGAAAGATTGATATCAAAGGTGGTAGTTCCCTGCTGTAAAAATTGCTTTAGATAAAAAATGGTGATCCATAACTTCATTCAGAAGCAGAAGAGGTTAAGCACTACCAATATTGATTTTATTTTAAATTTAGCATAGTGTGCACACTAATGAGTTAATGATCTGTGGTTTTGTTGTAAGTGTATGGTCATGAAAGCTTGTTAACAGGAATTAATAAGAAAAAAATAATACTCTATTAGATTCTTATAAAATCTGTGATATCCATGGAATGTATAAAAGATGGAAAAAAAAATAGAAAATGAACTTATTTAAGATGAGTGCAAATTTAAAATTCCATTCTTCTAAAGTTTAGTGAATCGAATAGAAGAAAACGCAGCAAAATAAAGTTTTTAGCTTATAAATTTTGTTTTTTGTGTTTGTCTCTTTTATTTCTTTCTAAAAATATAAAATATGCTAATATCAGTTGAAGGGCAATATGAGTGATGCATTATGGGGGAAAATATGGTTGACATCAGTTATCTGTTTATATTTATATACATTTGATTTTTGTTTCCAGCTCTTTTACTTTTCATCAATCCAGGTTGTGGGTGTGAAGAATGAATGGAAATTGGTACTTGGAATTTCTTCAGAACCTCTTAGAGAATCTTTTGAAGAATTTGAATCGGCTTTCTAGAAACAGACAAGTAAAACAACAATTTTCACTACGTTATAAAAATGATTTTGATTATAAAAATATATATATATTATATTTTCTAGCAAAACAACTACACATATCAATTGGAAATTTTTCTCTTTTTCAAAGTGACATAGTGATTAAATCAAAAGAAATAATGTCCATAAAATATATAAATTTCTTTCAGATTGACATCTACAAAAGTAAAAAACAAAAAACAAAAATAAAACCCTGAAACCATTCTTACACTTTCATTTATATATATATATATATATATATATATATATATATATGTATATATATATATATATATATATATATATATACATTCAAATATTAAGTGATAGAAATCAAAGGGTTCATAGCAGTTCATGTGATCCATTTAGTAAAATTAAACATGTTCACAGCAATGGGTTTGTAGTGGTATTGACAACCTAAATCAACACATACATTTTTTCTTTACAAATGTGTAAGCAAACGAAAAGCAAATAAGAGAAACAACATGAAAAACTGTTTTTACAATAACAAACAATATTCATATTTATGTATGTCAATGATATATGATATACAAGCATAATTAATAGGAGTTACTTCACTTTAACTGGAATTAAAGTCTTTACTAAAGAAATATTTTTATCTGAGCTCAAAGAAAATTGAATGAACTTGCTGCTCAAAATGTTCACCATGACAGAGTTGAAGGAATTATTTAAAGCTGAGAATATGTTTATAAACTTTTAGCTTCAGAAGAGTTGAAGGAATGAATGTTCCGTAATGTTTGTATAGGTTCCTGTTGCTTCTAATGTTCCATACATATGTGTATGTGTGTGTCATAGCGTTTGCCTGTAAAGGACGAAATGCAAGTTCTTTAATTACTACATCTTGTATGTCAGAGAAGGCAAGAGAGCCCAAAGAGAAAGAACGAACTCGTATTAAAGTATTTATAATAAACATAGTCTCGTGATAGGCTCTGGAAAGCATAGATAGATTTTGGTTTCGTTTGTTTTGTTTTACGGCATATCAAACTCAATGGGTCATTTAATGCTGACAACTTTTTTTTTTCTGGTAATATTTTTGTTTTGTCAAAAATCTATTTCTGTTAATATTTTTTTCCTCAAAAATGTATAGCTGGTAATATTATTTTTTCAAAAATGTATTATCAGAGGCCTTGCTGTAGGATGTAGTTTATCGTTTTACCCAGGACGCGGATGTAGTTTATCGTCTTACTCAGGACGCGGATGTAGTTTAACATCTTACCCAGGATGCGGATGTAGTTTATCATACCCAGGACAAGACAGATTTTGGTGGAATTGTATTTTTGTTCAGGTCAGGAAGTAGGTCGATGTTATTCGGATGTAATTGAGAACATGATTTAAATATTAACTGACCAATGAGAAGTGAGAAAAATATCAAGGCTCTGTGATCAACTTTTGGCATTGAAAGAGTGGTAGCAGAATTCTATAGGTTCTTAAATTTCCTTGGCTTTTATATACATTGACAAAATATTTAATGATGTCAAAAAAAATAAGAGAACTGGTTCCTAATTTCATAGACAAAAAAATTGGAAATTAAAAAAAAAAGAGAGAGTGAGAGAAGCCAATGCTAAAAATGTTCAGTTTCACCACTGCAGATAATTCATTACTTATGAGGATGCAGATCATAAAGGTTTTATAGTTAACTCATTATTTATAACACACACTTTATTCTTATTATAAACTGGTGTTTTTAAACAATACTTTTATGTAGACTCTCTTGGAAATAATATATTTAAAAAATATTGGCCCAGGTATATTAACAAAATCAAATCAGAAAATACAAATGAAAGTCAGTGGTTAACTGTTAAAATTTTGTTCATCACTTTGGGAAGAGTAAAGTTTAGATGAAAATCTGACAAAATGGTAAATATATAAAACAATTAGGAAAAATTCTATTGTAACAATTTCTGCCTGAATTTCTGGGATGAAGAGTTATCATTATTTACATGAATCCTTATATTATCTTCCTCTTTCTTGAGAATAGATTGTTCTCATTCTTCTGCCCATGTTTTTTTTTTTTTTTTTTCTCATCTAGCTCTTATTTAGTACTGCTCAGTTATGGATCATCCTATTTTCACTGAGGTCAAGGACAATCACAGAAATTGAACTTGAAATTACTATGTTACCAAATTTACAAACCAATGCTTTAATTTACTATTCTATTGTCCTTATTATTGACAATTCTGAATGGTGAACATGGAGCCTTAAACATAATGTATTTTGAAAGTTTCAATGAATTGATATCATCAGAAAATAAAATTATTTTTCTGATGATGCCGATTCACTGTCGAAACATGTCAAAATAAACCTTTTGGGAAGAGTAGCATGTTTGCTCATCTTTTTTTTATACATTTATGTATGGCTAAATTTTGCCTACTTTATATCAATAGAATACAACAATTGATGCTATACTGCTTATTAACTTATGAAAGATTTACTATCAGTCTTTATACATATTACTAACAAATGACATTTATGACATAACCAATAACATTTAATTTGCATGACAATTTTTTAAAGCATATTTCACTTGTGTTATTTACTTTTAATTCAAATTTTAAAAATTGCTATATATAAGTAATGTGACTTACAGCCATATCATGTTAAAACACCAGTTCTCGTAAGCTCACTGAAGTTAAGCAATCTTGAGCCTAGTCAATACTTAAATGAGTGCCCACTTGGGAATATCAGATGCTGTAAGCTTGGATGTGCAAGTGCTGTAATGGATAAGAGCACAGAATTGGAAAATCAAACGAGTTCCAATTCCAGTCAGGTTTGTTATATTCATTTATGCACAAATACCCTTTGGAAAGGTACAAATCCATCTCTTCTTCTCATATGGGTTAATTAGTACGACTTGTATCAGTAAACTCTTATTATGTACAAAAGATTCTTACAATCTAGAAATATTTTAAATAATCCACAACAGGCTGATAAACCGTAAAAAACAATCAATCAACATAAGCAAAATTTCTGTCAATAAAGTATTTTTTTTTTCAATTCATTATGTTTGTATAAAAGAATTCATAGCTGCCTTGTCAAAATTCAGTCATTAGATAAAAACCTACAGTATTCATAATAAGCATTGTTGTCATTTGATATTTTACATTAATACAAATTAGTTGAATAAAGATAAAAAAATTTTATAGAATTTGCTAAACAAGTCAAAAAGAAATCTATAAAAAAGATGTTCTTGCTTAAAATATTGTTTATACAAAAAAATTGTTGAACAGTGTAAAAAAAAAAATGAAATAATCTAAATAAGTCAAAATAATCTGTTTAATTAGATTTTCTTAAAAATGTACAAAATTTTTAAACAAATGAAAAATAGCAAGTTTGTTGAAGTAATTTTTACTATTATTGTTAAATGCTGCACTCACTGTGGACTTTTAAGCTAGCTCCTGCAGAGGGCTAATTGGACTTCCAGCCCCCAAAACTAAACAGACTTCAGGTCCAATTTAGAAAACAATAATGATAATTTTGAGGAAATAACTTTGAATTCCTCAATTCACTCCATGGAACCTCAAAAATTCACTTTAACTCTGATTCAGGCCATAAGTATCCAAAAACCGATTTAGGCTGAAAATCCAATTTAATTGAAATTCCATTTCAGGCTGAATATTGAGTTCTTCAAATCATAAACTCTGTAAAACTTCAAAAACTCTTATCATGAAACCTCTCACTCTGATTCCTTGGCATTTTGAAAAAATAAAATTGATTTCCTCAATTCAAAGTTTTGGAGATATTTTAAACTGAATTTAAAACAAATTTTTTTAAATTCACAAAGTTTGTGTTACTTTAAACTCAATATAAATTAAAAACTTGTGAAATCACTAATTTTTTCCAGTTTTTAAAATTTGAACTTTAAACTGTTCCTTTCTCACCTGAACACAAATCCTAATAGTGGATGTTCAAGCACCAGACGAAGAGCAGATTTTCAATCCCGGAAACATCCCAATTCCAAAAAGGTATAATATGTCTATGTAGAGTAAGTGTGGCCTGTTAGAGGAGTTTCAAACACACGAACAGGCAGACAGAATTTGCTATTTATTTATTTAGAAAATAGATATAAAAATTAGAAAATTACTAAAATGTTTCTCTCATGGTCAGCTCAATGTAGCTATGACCAGACTAAGAAATTCAATTGGACTTAGCATAATGACAAAAAGAAATTTTAGAGAGGTAAGAGAATTTCTTTGAAAACTTTCTTTGTTCTCTTTGTAGAATGAGTATTTGGTAAATGTAATCAAATATGTTGTTGATGAAAAAGCATAACAATACTCATTTAGCAATATTAAATTTTATTTTCATATGTGTCTGTTATTTTAGTATTTTAGAAAAAAAAAACTTTATTATGATGAAAAATTTAAAACAGATGTATTACTATGCTCTCAAGAAAATCAAAAGTGCAGTTTGAAGTTTTAAATGACATTTCTAGAATAAGAAACCAGGTTTAAAAATGGAATTTTTTTAAAAAAAACTGTCAACACTTACTACTTTTCTTCTGTACATTTTCATTTTTGTGTGTAATAATTGGTTCTTTGATAATTTTGGATGATTTCACTTCAACATCTTCATAGATATTTTGCTCTGAAAAACAAAGATGAAATTTACACAAATCTAAATATTTGCCAATCCTAACTTTGTCTGAAACAAGGTCAAAATTTCTATTAAATCTATCTTGGCCAGAAACCCAACTTTAGTTTAGAAATGAATTTAGAACCTGATAAATTAGCTTATTCAATATCTTATCAGTTGCATATTCAGAAAATTTACTGATAAGTTTATCTACATGTAAAACACAATGTGTATCCATATATATTGTCGCATGTGTGTAACCCTTTTCAGAGAGCAAGTATATACTACACTCTGATCTTAGACAGAAGTGCTGATCTATATGTAAATAACACATATTTTTATGAGTACTATGCTAGTTTCATATTAAAATTTTAGTTTGTTTGCTGCTGTGAGCACACCAAGTCCTTTTAAACTGTGTTGCATTTATTAAAAATATATTTAATAGAAATAGATTGAGCCTAAAACTGATAGCACAAAACAAGGATCAATGTTGATATATCTTGATCTATACTACATAAGCTTGATCTATATTGTTGGGATCAGTCTACCCAGGTTTTTGTTGTTATGTGAGTGTTGGGATTCCAAACATTTAACAACATCTTTTAAATGAAACACAAAAAGGTTATTTTCTGAAGAAAAAGTAGAAACAGAATGTCAGTTCAAATAACATTTATATATTATTTTCAGAAATATACAATAACAATAAAATGTTCAGTTTTCTTTGCAATGAAGTTTGTTTTATAAAGTAGTTAAATGTTTGTGGGGTGGTGTGAAATGTGTGGACTGACTTACTTTATGATGGTCAGCCTAATGTATTTGTGAGTTCATAGACAATGCCTTAGTTGGCAGATCTTGCTTATCTTCTCCATTGTGTGCATGTGTATGCACATAGAAGCACATGTAGATCAAACTGGCCTCTGAAATTGTTTTGGACCCTGAGAAGCAGTATGCTTCTATTTTATATCCATAAGGGAGATCCAAAATCTAACTTCAAATAGAAGTATGAAATTTTTGAACACAAGGTTTTCACTAGATAGAAAATAATTTAACACTGGCTTGTGAAAATCTTTTTCTTGACTTTGCAGGAGTGGTGAGGGAGTTATTATTGTTATTTTTTAAATGGTTCAGAAATAACACATAGAGAGTCTACAATACTATGTAAGAAAACTGTGTTCTTTACTTATTAACCTACAGACAGAATTAATCACAAAACAATTAATTAGTTGTACCCAGGATGAGTTATGTGATGGAAATCAAAAATTTAACTATTGTAATATTTAATTTTGTAAAATTTAAAAAAAAATTTTTTTTAAATTTTAAAACTTTCTAAAATTTTAAAATTTTAAAGTTTTTAAATATTGTAATATTTAATATTGTAAAAATATTTAACTATTGTCTCTAAAAGAGCACCAGTTTCCTTTGAGTATTCCTATGATCACGTATGCATGTATTAAAAATAATCTTTTTTCACCATTAGATTTTTGTAGATGCTATATTTTATCACTATTAGTCAATCTTTAACAAACCAAATCCACATTTCAGAAACATTGAATCTATACTGTTAAATTATGTGATTCAAACCATGTCTGAATTGAATTTAATGTCCATCAGAAACTTTTGATCTAAGAAGAGTTGATCTGCTATGATGACCTCAATATATTCACAGATTAGGTTCAGTACTTGATATCACTGTTGATGCCTGTTTATAGTTATTAAAACATTTGAGACATTTATAAATATATATATATAATCTGAACAATGTAAATGACATAAATATTTACAATACCTCATCTCAGAAATATAGACAGATAATCAGAAGGATTTATTATCAGAAGCATTTTGTTGTACAAGTTCAGTAGATGTATGAAAGTTCTTGTAATATAGTTGTTAATAAAATGTTTGTGTTGGTGAATGAATAGAATTATTTGCAAGTATCAGTAAAAGGCAATATTAAACATGAGAAAGTGATATTTGGTTAAACTGACTTATCGGTAGTCTTCATTTCTGGAACTGCTCAATTTCACGTGCTCTCATTGCAAGGGACTGGCTGGAAAGTGAATGTCTCTAAATTTCCCACCAGTAGGAAAATTTCCTTTTTTCTTTTTAGTCTTGGGATTTGGATTTTTTTCTTGTGATTGTGATTACCTTAAAATATCAAAAGATCTAGGCAACAAGGATTGAGCTAAAAGGTTACCTCAAAGCCACGAAGTGCAGAATCAGGCCACAAAAGATGTTGGTTTGTGTACCAACATGATGTAATGGAATAACCTGCCACCCCTATGAGTGACTACACTATAGGTAGTAACTACCTATAAGTATCCGTAAGGCAACGGACTACAAAACTCTAGCTGGGATCTGTGAGTACGACTCAGACTTATGCAAAAACTACCAACCTTCCAATAGCAGTATAATTGACAAACAGACATGGAGGAAAATAGGTCGACCAAAATTGACTGACACAAGCAAAATTGTCAGGGGTATTGCAGGAAAAACACTCAAATTCAAGGGTGAATTAAGTGTAACATTTTGTTTTATGATAAGACTTTTAGATTAAAAGTCTACGTACATAAAGGGATTAACTCCTGCCTTTTTGGAATAGATTGGATCATGCTATTTAATTTATGAGAATTGCCCATAATCAGGTGAACACCAGGGAAAAGAAAAAGTTAAAACAGACAGAAAAATTCATGCAGAAAATGATAATTTTATTAAAAATATGAAAGCCAGGATAAATGAATAAAAAGGGAATAAAAATTTCTCCTTATTCGATCTGCAAAAATACGCTAATGTACGCAGACAGGGTGGTGATGTCACAGGCATTACATAAAAAGATCTTATAAGAATTTCATATTGGTCATCCTGGCATATCTCGTATGGAATCTCTTATGAGAAGTTATGTTTTCTGGCCACAAATGGATATAGACGTCGAAAATTTTGTGAAAAACTGCAGAGGGTGTCAGTTAGCTGCAAGAGCCCCACCAGTTAAAACACAACCATGGCCAGAAACAGATATCCCCTGGACATGTCTACACATTGATTATGCAGGAACATTTAATGGGTATTATTACCTGATCCCTGTGTATAGTTTCCCAAAGTGGCCAGAAGTTTTTAAATACAAACACCCAACTTCCAGAAATACTATCAGTGCTTTAGACAAAGTTTGCAGCCGCTTCAGAGTCAGTGATAACAGAACTGCATTTACAGGTAAAGAATTCAAAGAATTCTGTGCTTAATTGGACATAGAACACGTCACAACTCTGATTTACCACCCAAGGTCAGGTGGACAAGCGGAAAAATTTGTGGACACGTTCAAATGAGCATTAAAGAAAAATAAAGGGGTAGACACAGAGGAGAAAGCTATACAGAAATTCTTAGCAGTATACAGGGTAACACCGAACACAAACAATACAGCAAAATTGATATTTGCGAGAAAGATAAGATCAATATTCGTTGCCTTGTCCAAAAAAGAAAAGGCATAACAAAGAGAATTTCTGTGCAAAGAAGTATACGCCTGGTGATAAAGTTTTCTTTTTCTTGTGTATGCAAAAGGCATGTAAACTAGTTAAGACTAAGATACTCTCAAATCGTTCAACAGGATGATGAAGAAATTACAATGGATGTCCTGTACAGCACATTTGAAATAACACCACCCACTAACATACCAAAACACATGGATACATCTCCTACAACAGCTTTGCCCATAGGATTGAGATGTTATTCACCTCGAAAGAGTAATAGGAAAAGAAAACCCACAGTGCGATTAAGTCCAGACCCAAAAAAGAGGAACTATTAGAAAGCTAAATTTTCTAGAGGAAAATTTCAGCTCGGTGTGAGGTGATGTAATAACATGTCACCTCCATGAGTGACTACACTATAGGTAGTAACTATCTATAAGTATCTGTAAAGCAACGGACTACAAAACTCTAGCTGGGATCTATGAGTATAACTCAGACTTACGCGAGAACTACTAACCTTCCAATAGCAGTACTCACTACTGGATTGACTTGCGATGATCGTGTGCCTTACTGTTACCTTATTTCTTATTGTACTGGTTTTACAATAAACCTTTACTTATTTACCCACTGTGTTGTTCAAGTATATATTCCTATTAGCAAGGAATATAACAACATAAGCAAGGAAGTAAATCCAGCTGAACTTAATATGTACACACAAAAGACAACTGAATGACAGTTATCTAAATGCTTGATCTATGAGAGGAAAAGGCTGAATCCTTCACATCCTCACAAGAAGGTTGAATACTCAAAGAAAGAGACCTGAAACTACATATCTTTTATTGACTGACATTAATTTGACAGAATCAGAAGTGAATAAACAATCACTTTAAATATTAAAAATTTAGTCTTATATTTTTATCAGATATCATTAACATTACATTTGGAACTTATTTAATTCTACCTTCATGACAGGATTGGCTTATAGAGTTATTCATTCAGTTTAGCTTAGATGTGGCACCTAGTGTGGATCAAACTCACTACTCTTTCCCAGATCTTATTGGCTGCAAGTAACAAGAAGACTAGCAACTGATGAGGAAACAATGATATACAAGACATCTACACTATCTTCAGCTAATAAGTTCCCACCTCTCATCAGGATTATATCAGTGAGAATTTGAAAGATACATTTCTGAAAAGTATTATCAAAGTTAAAATTACCAAAGATTAAAAACATTGAATATAATAATGCGCCTTGCATTACTAACCGTCATCTACAACAGAATTTGGTAATGGGCAAAGGTTGTTCTGCAGCACTGGTTTGCCATCAGCTGACCGAGCATGAAGAGCATCTTCCGTTTTAGATGAGGCTGGAACGTTGGGAGTCATATTTTCATATGTGTCTGAATCTGTAATTAAACAGAAAGCATAAGCATCAAATAAATAAATATTTAAGAAGTTAGCTTAACCTGATGCAATATAACTATATACCTTGGCATACAAAATTTTGGGGGCCACCTAGGTAAATTAATTACTTTTGTTAATTTTACCTCAAAATCAAAAGTGATTTGCAGTATGCTTGGTTTAGTTAATGGCATATCAAATTTTATTTTCATGTGAGCTTTGGTAATTTTTTTTTTCAAAAATGTATTGCTGGTAGTTTTTTTTTTCCAATAATGTATTGCTGGAATCTTTTTTTTTTTTTTTTTTACTATAAAAATTTATTGCTGATAATTTTTTTCTAATGTATTTTTATATTTTCATGTTTTGAGCCTAGTTTGGGGGTTCACTATTTGCCCATAATTGGTACACTAACAGGTGTCATCACCCTGAGTCAGGGTGGACCTGGGGACAACAGCAATTAAGAGGTGGTTCCACACTCATCAAAACCTCCTGATCAGAGACCTTATTGTCAGATTCTGTTTATCGTCATACCCAGGATGAGCTTTTCTCAGTACATTTTATGATCTTTGAGGGCCAAAAATAAAGTTAATTAACGTTTCTGTATAGTGAATGATAGAGCATCTTAAGTAAAGTGATGTTGAAAAAAAAAAAAAATAAAATGACTATGAAAAATACTGGAGCACCAGTGAAAATTTCATCCTTCAGCTCTTAAGTTAAAAAGTAATTTTTTTGGCAAAAAGTGATCTACAGAAAGTACAAAACGTCAAAGTATGGAGTTAGCAATTGATGTTGCTGCCTTTGGCTTGAATAATTGCCTCAAATTGATGTGGCATTGAATGGGAAAAGGTTCAGATTTTCTTATTGGGAATTTTTTCTCATTCTTTTTGGCAATAATACCAAAGCTTCTGGAGATTGTGTGATTTTCATTGGTACATTTGTTTCTTCAGTTCCTTCTACAATAGTTCAATTATATTGAGATCAAGACTTTGAGCTGGCCAATTATCCAAAAGTTGAGCATCTTCATCTGCAAGAAACCTTTTTGTTGCATGTGATATGTGGCAAGGAGATATCGTTATGCTGAAAAATTTATCCATCTTAGTAGTCTGGGAGAAGATTAGACTCTAGTAAACTAATCTTGTTTTCACTGTTTAAATTTCCATTAACTTTTACCAATTTTTATTCTATCATCATTTTTGATGCTATCACCCACCATTACATGCCCACCATTCAATTTTACTATCTTTGTGTTGTATTTTACATTGTTTCTTTCTCTCAATGGTCTTCCTACATATTCTCTTACATTAGAATGTAACTACTTTGCATTCATCACTAAAAATTAGTTTCTTTCAATTTCCAGTATCACATGTTAGATGTTATTTTGACTACTTCAGTCTTCTATTCTGCTGTTTTTTTAGTTAATGTTTTTTTTGCTACTATACAACTGTTCATGATGTTTTAAATTTTTTTTTATAGTACTCTGCATATCAATTGAAACCTCAATGGTAAGACAGCATTCAATCCTCGCTTCTCTAGTTATTAATTTCGAATTGCCTACTAAGACTCTCATAATCTTTCTTTCATCTCACTTGTCTAACTTTTGTGGTTTTCTAGTTTTCCTTGCGCTTAAAACATTTCTAGTAATAGCAAATATCTTTTGGACTGTTTCTGGAATTTACCAGCTGCCTGGCTATTTCTCATTGAGTCAAAATGTTTCAGTCTTATTTACTGGTTGTATCTAGTTTTGCATGATTTGCTTATCTCTTTTTCTCCAAATCTGATTCCTACAACTACTTGGATTAACGGGAGTGAAGACAGTAACATCACTTGTTACTTTTAGGCAGCATGCGAATATGTCTTTGCTTGAATGAGGTTTAAGGAGTTACCTTAAAAAGCTTTAGCCAAGAAAAAGATAATACCCGCAATAAACATTATACCCGTAACCAATTATACAACAGCTCTTTTATCTTTTATACCGAGCATCTGGTTTATTTCATTTGAACAATGTAGGAGAAGCTGGAGAAGGGAGAATGAAAAACCTTTCTTATCAGGGATCCACAAAAATTTATTTTCCCTACATTGTTGGTAATTACATTTAAATGAGGAAGAAAGAATAACTTACATTAGTTGATAGGCAACCAAAAGGCTCATTGTTTCACTGATTTTTCTCAATTATTTATAACTTTTTTCTACGATTCTTCATTGTCTGTCTATAATTCTGAGATGAGGTATTATGTACATTATTTAGATTATTTGGACTATTGTCCTCATCTTTGTTGCCATATTTATCACAACGTTTCGGCTGTTGTACGCTCCGGCCTTCTTCAGGTGGTTGGAATGTCGAACTGAACCCTTTATTTCGCTCACCGGGGTAGACTGTTCTAGTTCCACGTGCCATGTTTGATGGATGTCAAGGACACATGGCACAGTTGATAAAGGCGTTGGTTAGATCCAGTGACAGGACTCAAAGAGTGTGAGTTCAATACCTGGTTAAGGCAGTGGAGAACTTTCAGAGGGAAATTAACAGGAGATAACTGATAACTGACATCCATCAACAGCCAAAACGTTGTGATAAATATGGTGAAAAGATAAGGACAATAGTCCAAATAATGTAAATAATGATTCTTTATTGCTATAAAATTTACCAAATGGTTCAAGAATAATTCAAACCTTAGTTGTTCTAAATTAGATTATTACAAATTTTCTTAAAACTTAAAAACATTAATAACTTTTTTTTTTAAAGTTTTAGGAGGTTTATTTATACTTTTTGCAGACTTATACTACTGAAATGGGTTCAAGCCTAGTGGGTGCCTACACTTCTGTCCTGTGCTTAATGCCAGAATTACCAACATCGTCATTTTTGCTTATAAAAATCAATATTTTGCTAAATCTTTTTAAAGGTTTTCACACGTGAGTCTTTAAAGACATAAGGGGATCAATTGACAATGAACTTACATAGCAAACCAGACACCGATATTAAGTTTTATCTAATTTAATAAAAAAAAAAAATCTTTGAATATTTTTTCAGGTAACATAGGTTGAAATACCTTTTTAATATGCAAAATTTCCATTTGCCCATTATTTTCTGTTCAGTCGCTCATCACCACCCCAACAGTTGAAATCACCCATTGGTGGGTAATATGACCCAGTTTGGGAAACACTGATCTAGACCATTAAAACCTGTAGCCCCATTTCGCTACAATATAATAATTTCTAAATGCTCTAAAATATTACTGAAAAGATAAAAAATGAAAACAACAGATGCATAAATTTGGTTGTATGTAAAATATCTAATACAAAATTGAAATATTTGTTTTCTAATAAAAATTAATGCCATATTCTGATAAAACCAAATTAAGCATATAAACTCCTATATTTTACAGTCAATAAGTGAAGCATAAACAAGAGACACCTACAAATAAATCTTACTACATTCAGTAGATACGAAAATCTTTTTTTACAATTCCGTACAAATGCAGCTCCAAATTAAATAAGGGGTTTCTGGAACCTAATTGGATACGACAAGTCATGTGACGTGCTATCTACTACAGCTGCGCAGTTGAACTCCAAATGATCTGGAAATAGGTCAGGGCTTGGATTACTGAGTACATTCCTGCACAAAAATTCAGATAGTGATTCTGAGCTGACCCATAGAAATAAAAATGGCTTGTCGGCAACAGTCAGGGACCAGATCTGCAACAACACAGTCAGTGAAGGACAGTTGGTGAAAGATAGTCAGCAAACCAGACGAGGCCTTACTCAACAACTTAGACACATGTACCATGACAATGCGTATGTCAGTGATGATTTTTCTACATACAACGCCATGACAAAAGTAAGTTTTGTCTCCCCTATCTTTATTCATTGTGTTTTAAAATTACTACTATCGCATGCAATCAGTCAGCAGTCACACGTTTCATTAGTGTGTGCTTCACACAACACAGGTATTGGTGTACCATACCACTTGATTTCCTCACTTGCAACAAAAACATTTCAAAACTTTGCAGACTCACATGTGACAAATCATTTCGAACAATCGAACTATTGGTCTCTTCATGGCTATAACAAAAAATATTGATTTTTTAATAAGTAAATACATGTATCTGGCTGTATAAACGTTACTGTCATATTTAGCTTGGTCTTCCTTTTCTGCGAAGATCATTTCTTTGCACTGTCTATATTATTGTGTTGTATTTGTGGACACAACACTTGGATTTTATTTTTCCACCTAAAATCCTGAGAGATTGACCCCTCACCTAACAATGTAAATTCAAGTTAAAAGTAGTAATATAATGTTATAATTTAATATTGTTATTATTAAAAGGAATTCAGACTTTAAAAATATATTCACATAAAATAAATAAAATCAAATTACATTATTTAATAAATTTTATCAAAGTTGATCAGTTCTGATAACAATAAATCAGAAGTTTATAAAGAGGATCAGTTTAGTAATTCTTATGGTTACTATCAAGGCTAGCCTTAAGTCTATTGGATCAACTGCTTCCAATTAAGCACTGCACTGAAGGCTCATACTCTACTATTGGGCGGCACAACTTCTAAGGTCAACCCTGTCACTACTATGGAATGCAAACGCTAGCAAAAATTAATTTGTTCATTTATTCGAGGGATTTGTTTTGGACATAGGCAATCATGGCTCTTCTGGATTTCCTTTTCTTTAATATCTGTGGATTGACTTCTTGAGAAAGATATTGGAATAGTTTAAGTTCTAACCTTCTCCACGGTTTGGTATTCAGAATTTTCTATTTTCTAGACTAACTATCACACAAGGATAGAGAGCCTATTCTACCCTTCTATTTTCCTCATTTTCCGCATAACTGGTGGAAGAGGGGAAAAATGAATTCATACCATTTGTAATTGCGAAGTGACAGCAGTAAATTAGGCCAGAACTTGAAATCGGCCCAAGTTAAATACACATCTAAGGGACGTTACTGCACATAATTATAATTAAATTATCTCCCTTGATGATATATTTATATTTATTATT